TTGTCTTTTGTTTTTTTCAGCTGACAACCTTTTTGCTCATCTAGTGCAGGCTTTGTAATCTCATTACTTGAACTCGATTGGAAACAAAAGTACAGTGCAGCTCCCATAACCAGAGAAGCTCTAGACTCGTTCTTTTAGTAGAATATGGATATTGATATTTACCTTGTGTTATAATGTTGAAAGCAAAAGAACCCTGTTTAACCATCAAACCAAAAAATATACATCTGTAAGATGAAGTTCTCTCTCTTACTGAGGCTCTTTCAAAATTTAGAAAATGAACTACGTGGTGATCCCTGCCATTAGAGGGCGTGTGACTTATTTCTAATGAGTGAGTGGTTCTTTAAACACTTGTATGCAGTTCAGGTTAGATCTACCTGAAGTTGATCTATACTGTCTTTCCTATTTTGAAAAATTAAACAATTTCATAATGAAGAAAAAAAAGAACTTTTGTCTTCTGTGTGAAAGAAACATTCAGCGTAACATGCAAGAAAGACCTTAGAGAAACTTGCAGTGGTGGAAAGATTAGAACTTGCCCTTGGTATGGTTAAAGCCTCCATTTCTACTGAATTTACTAAATCTAGTTAAGTCTGTGAAGAAAGCCATTTTACTGTGACTGAAGTCACAGGCTGCTGAATCTCCAGCAGGAGTTTTATTGATGGTGTTAACTGCCAGGCAGCTGCATGAAACCTTAATTTTACTGTTATTCTTTTGGGGAACCCAGCAGGATGGTGAGAGCCAATAATAGAACTGAAGTGTTCAAAGTCCCAGTCCACACTAGACTATACCACCTCTAAGAATGTGCCTAATGGATCGTATTCTGGTTTCTATCAGTGTAATGTCCAAGGTCCAGTAACACTGAAAGTTGCACGTAAGGTAAGTGTAGGATTTAGCTATTCAGTGTTATTGTCTTTAGCCTTTGGATTACTATAGTTGTAGGGGGCAAACTGAGTTATGCTCAGGCTCTTAGCATAACTTTTAGGCCTTCCCAGAACTAAGCAATTAAATTGTACAGAGTGCCTTATAACGCACCGGGAAACATAAATGCTGTGATCGGTATAGTGGGCTAACCAAGTACAGTAGTTTCCCTAAAAGGAAAGGAAGCCAAAAACAAAATAGGATCGGAATACCTTATCTAAAAAGATGAGGGAAGAAATTTAAGTATTGGACAGTTTGAGATGAGAGAATTACAAAAGTAGTGGACAAACGAAAGAGACGGTGTGTGTTCTGTGTTTGCCACCTTGGGGAGGCAGGAGCAACCTTGAAATTTTTGTTCAGACGAGGAATCCAGAAACTAGCATCCCACACACCCGGCAGAGGATCAGAAGCCGGTACCACTGAAGGTCACAGCAGTAACACCTGAAGGAACCACTTGCCAGGTCATATTACACTGATAATAAGCTTGTAATAAGCCTAGGGGTTACTAATAAAGTTCACTTGATACCAAATCGAACAAGGGACCATGTCAATCCTTGGGGGTCTCTGGTAAAAGAAATTCTGGGGCAACAATAGTATTGTCTAGTAGGTGTCCAGCCACTGCACAAATATTCCCAATAAGTGACATTACGAATTTTGTTGTTCCAGAAAACGGTGCTATTCATGCTAGCTTTTTTTAGGAAACCAAAATACAAAAAGTAATTCTTCCCTTCATAGCTTTCAAACAAAGAACTAGTCCTTTATTTCCTACCCGAATCACACGGTAGCTGGTACCAGTAGCCATGTGATGCTGCCACAGTTTCCTTCTAACTTAAAAATCAAGGCTTTGTATTCTTATGTCTGATCCCTCTAGGGTCTGGTGAGAAACAAAACACTTGAGATTGTTGTAAGGAGGCCAACAAGCCAAATACAAGCTGGGGAATCTCAGAATGATAGATCCTTGCTGCTCCTCCACTGTTTCAGTCAAGTGCATTTTATTTGCACTTTTTGGGGAAAAGGTAGCAACCCTGCAGGCTGCCTGGGTGGGACAGCCTAGGTAGAAAGTTGGATATCCTTGTTTTTAAACGCCTACGTTTAACCCTACGTTCCAAGTAGGGTTAAGAGGAAAAAATAAAAGTATGAAGTAATGATATTAGCAAGATTAAGGTCTCTGTTGGTGAACCCTTTTTCATTTGCAAGGGAATATGGAATGAATACAAAGAGCCAGGAACTGTTGGTGGTTTTAAATCTATTTGACTTGTCAGTGACCTTGGGTAGAGTCCATAATGATTTTATCAGCTGCTGTGGTGAGATAAGCTATTCTCTCCCTCTTAACTCCGTTACAGAGGCTTAATTTTGGTTGCGTGTTAGCTCTTAGCCCAATTCATCCTTCATGACTTCCCTTGATTTGAATGCTTGCAAGTCCCTACCTCTCTTGGGACTGAAGGGGAAAGCTTTTATCTTGTTTATTATTCTAACTGTGCATTGAGAGCGGTCTTTATTTCTGAGGAAGCTTCGGATTTGTTGCAAAGCGATGCCGTACCTTCAAAAGATTGTTTTGGTGTGGTGTGGCGTGTGACACGCCAAACCAAAGCCTCTGCTAGTTGGTTGCTATTTAAAAAGCAAAAAAACAAGTTAAGGTTTAATTTCCATGCCTTGGATTCTCAGACTATGCTGTGCCCTGCAAATATTGGCTGCTTCTGTCTATGGAAATAGTCCAACTTTCTTATATAACACTCTAAACACAGATTTGTAAAGCCATAATTGTTGCCTTGAATGAAAACATGTTAGACTGTTTATACCAGGCAAGGGCTTGTAGGCAGTGAAGAAAACCAGTTCAATGTGCATGCCATTCTCCAGTGGGTAGGAGGCATTGAGTGCTGCTTTTCCACCCAGCCCAATGATTAGAGAAGTGGTTTTCAACCTTTTTTCATTTGCAGACCCCTACAAAAATTTCAAATGGAGGTCCGGACACCTTTTGAACTGTAAGTGTGGGTATTCACATACTTATGATCATAATTAAGTGTCTACTTAATTCCTGGCTTCATGGTTTTTGCGGAAACCACAAAAAACTGTTGTCTACAATCGCCAAGAAATACTACACTGGCCACCATTTCCTGTGAAACTAATCTAAAAAAATCCCCAGTGTATTATTCATAGGATACGCTATTTTAGAATATCTCAGTGCTTACCGCAATATGAAGACATGAGTCGCTGCAGCCATAGATCACATCATTGAGCGTTACTGGGTGCATTTACACATGCACTTCAATGTGCAGTAGCCTGTTTTAATGCGCATTAGAGAGTAACGGCAAACCATGCTAATGTGCAGAAAAATTAGGCTACTGAGTATGAAGCATCGCTAAAAAAGCATGCACTTTCGCTACTGCGCATTAGGGCAGCCCAATGCGCATTTAGTTAGTACCTCATGTTGGAAGTACTGAATTTAATGTGCAGTAGCAAAAGCGCATTGGTGAATGTGTAGATGCACCCACTGTCTGCTAGTGACAGAAACTAAGTAACGGTGCCAGTCAGTGAAAATGTTTCTGTTAAAATTGGTGTTAATTAGTATTTCTAAACTTTTTTGTAGAATGCTACATATAATAACAACAGGATACAAATTGCAGTCCATATTGTGTATACATTTATAATAGATTTAATTTTATTTAAAAGAAATATTTAGAATTATAATAATATGCTACATGATATAATTTACTTTCTGTGGAATTTGCTATAAAATTGAATGGTATTATGCCTCTGCCAATCAGCAGTGAGGGGTGGGGCCACTGGAATATGCCCATGAAATCAACTCTTCATGCCGCAATCAAGCTGCAAAAATTGCTTCGTCTCACCATGAATTAGGTAAACTCCTAATCATAACAATCTTTCGTGAGCCCCTTAGGCATAGCCTGAAGACCTCTAGGCGTCTGCAGACCACAGGTTGAAAACCAATGGATTAGAGTGTCTCTTACAGCTAGTCCTATCTTCTTCCCCTTTGCAGGCACTGCAAATACCTTGTCTTCCTGTTCCTTGCTCTTACCATTTCTGCTCTCTTTTTCCATTCTTGCTGAGTTTGTTCTTCCAGACTCTTCACTTTACAAGGCCCTTCACTTTCGATTTTTGGCTTCTTGTCTCTGTTGTCGTTCCAGCCCTAAGCAAAGCAGCACTTCTTTATTCTCATCCAGCAAATACCCTGCGTGACCTTTCTCTCTCCAATTCTTTCAGCAATTTCATCTCATCAGATACCCTCATTTATTTACTGGAAATAATAAAATCCCCCGGGGGCAAAGCGAACACAAGATAAAGACCCTGCTTAGCAAGCAGGGTGATGATCATTCATTGTTTCTCAGCTCTGGCAATGCACTTCTAGTGTAATCGCACCAAGCTGTGAAGGTTGCTAGCTGCCTTCCAGTCACATAGGAGTGTAGCATCGGGGCTCAGTGATGGGTTTACTTTTGGGCACACCCTGGCATGTGGGAGCTGGCTAGCTCTAAGGCTGGCAACTTGAAGCAGTCAAAAGTGTGACTAGTCTGAGAAACATCATTGGCTTAAAACTGGTGAGACTGTTGAAAACAAACAGCAATTTTCTGTGTCTCTTTTGTAGCATGGGGCGCTCCGGGCTCCCTTCCTGCTCACGCTGGATCCAAGCGATTTTAAACAATCCATGTGATCCTGAAATCTGATGTTTGCTCTTCTGTAGCTCCAGCTGAAAGAAACCAGAAATCAGTGACAGCAGCAGGGCAGATGGATGGAGACCTTGGGTTAATGCAGGAAAAGCAGCTTGGGGGAAGAACCAGGTAGGTGAGTCCAGAAGGAGGGAGTGGAGAGAGCTGGAGGGGGGCAACCCTCTATCTGGAGAAGTACAGCTGTGCTCCCTGCTCCTCCAGAGACAGAGCTGGGAGCAGCTGTGCCCCGGGCCAGGGGATGGAGGCTGCTTTCCTGGCCCCACCACCACCAGTGGCTACTGGCGGCAGAGCCAGGGAAGGGTTAATCCAGCTCTTGGCACCTCTGGCAGCAGCGTCCTGCCCGCGTGGCCGCACGTTCAAGCGCCCCCTTGAGTGAGCGCCTGGGAGTGCACAGGCAGGCACCGCCCGCGGCGCGGAAGGGGTTAACGCGAGTGGCCCCGCTCGTCCGATCCGGCCGCTCCTCTCCCCGCAGGGCAGGGGGCGGGGCCAGGATCCCGAGTGTTTAGTCGCGAACAGAGCGTCTCGTGCTCAGCCAATGGCCGGAGGGCTGGGCGCAGCCCGTAGCCAATCAGTAAGCAGTCGCTAGAGCGATTAGCGTGGGGGGTGAGGCCAGCCTAGGGAGCCTACAAGAGTAACAGCCAATGAGCTGGGGAAGAGGGTGGGACCTCAACAAGACATTGACAAGGCGGGGGCAAAGAGCGAAGCCCACGGAAAGCGCATAGCCGGCCTGAAAGGCTTTATGGTTGCCATGGCAGAGACTGACGTCTGCTCCAGCCAATCCGGCCCCGCGAGCGGCTGCGGGTCCCCGGACTGGG